CCTTTTTTTTTTTTTTACTGAGGGATATCTTCTGCGTGTTCTTTTTTTTTTTTGTTTTTGTTTTTGTGATGTTTATTTGTACGGCTGAGCGAGCCCCTTCTTTGCTTGAGAGACATCTCCCTCCCTCTCTCTCTCTCTCTCTCCCACACACACACACACACAAGCAGGCACGCATATTCAACCACTGTTCTGCCTCCTTCGTTTTTATAGAGAGGGGGGCGTCGCTGAGCGCATCTCCCTCTTTTTCCCGCTCCTCTTCCCCTCCCCTCCCCGCAACTCGCGGCACGGAGCGACCGTCAGCCAGAGAGAGAGGGAGAGGGAGAGGGGGAGAGAGAAAGTGAGGGGGAGGTACCGCACGGGCATGCGTGGGTGGGGAAGAAAGAGGGAAAAGCGCAAGCGAAGAAAGAGAGGGGAAGGGGGGAGAGAAAACAAAAGTTAGTTGTGGAACTCACGCTCAACATACAATGATGGTACTGCCCTTGAAGCTGGCATTATTCTTGGTGTCAATGGCCTTCCCCATGGCGGTGTACGATGCAAACTCCACGTATGCCGTGCCCTTCAACTCGCCCGTTCCGCGGTCACGCAGAACGGTGCAGTTCAGTATTTGTCCGCAATCGGCAAAGAACTGCGCCAGCTCCTCCGGCGTGGTGGTCGGGCCGCCGTTCTCGCCCCGCGGGAGGTTCCCCACAAATATGGAGCGGCCGTCGCTGTCCTTTGAGAACTGATGCGGCTGCCCCGACGTCGGGGCCATCACACCCGGCTGCTGCTGCTGCTGCTGCTGCGCCGCCATGGGGTCTCCGCCGTGGGCGAACATCCGCTGGCGCTGCGCGGGGTGCGGATTATTTTCCGCAGCGGATGCCCTTTCAAAGGCGCTTGTGGCATCCATGGCGCCAAACGGCTGTTGTTGTTGCTGCTGCTGCTGCTGCTGTCGTTGTTGCAGCTCGCGAAACTGGCGGTCAGCCTCAAGCTCCGCCTCTATTCTGGCGATCTCGGCGGCCAAATTGTCGTCCATTCCTCAACGGCGTAATGCCCCTGTTGTAAACTCGGCAATAATGGAGGCGACACAACACGGAGTGTTTTATTACTTTGCGGTGGTCACAGCGATGACCCGTCACTCTGCCGTACACGGCGTGACAACAACAAAAAGAGAGGTTTGGGCGGGAGCCAAGAAAAAGGTAGTGGAAAGAAGAGACACACAAGCACAGACAAAACAAAAGCACAGACGATGCCTCCAGGTGGTTCGCGCACAATTACGCACGCAGCAGAGAATAAAAAGAGGAAGAAAGAAAAGAAAGAAAAAAACAAGCCTCACTTTCCTTCTCACCTACTGAAAATTACACATACAAATACTTCTCCTCCATCGCATTTTATTTCCTTCTTTTACATGTCTTTGTGGCGTGCACATAAGTGCATCCCCGCAATTTGTCTCTTGGAACTATACTCGTACTATTTTACAGATTTTTATTTTATTTTATTTTTACTCCTCTTCTTTTGCAGCCCTTCACACTAAAAGCCCTTCTGCGTCTTGAGCTCCAGGGCATCAATCTCTGGCGGTTTCTCTTCCTCTGGCGCGCATGGGAAGTGCTGGGCAATAAACCGCACGTACTGCTCGTCGGACGCGACAAGAGAAAAGAAGGCACTGCGGTCGTAGCCGTTCGCTGCCGCACGGCCCTTTTTCTTCTCCTGCAGCTGCTCCCACGAGAGACCAGGGAAGGCGCCGCAGATGAGCTGGTCAATCATCGCCTCCGTGACTTTGTCTTGACCCTGCGCATACGACAAGAACGCCGTCTTGATGCGTTGTGTGTCCTCGTGTGAGATCTTGACCATTTTTGAGTACACACGTTGCTTCCCTCTTCCTTCTTTTCCCTTTTTTACTCCCAGAGAAATAAAGAGTCTACAGGGGGTGGGCAAAGACAAAAAACAAAAAAACAAAAAAAAAGGTTTCATGCTCACACACACACACACAATATTCACAAGAAGAACACAGTTGCCGACCTGGCTGCGATGTATTCCCCACCTAGCCACGTGAATAAAACGTGTAAAGTGGTCCGCACATGTTTTGTGCAAGATGTCATCTTAATGCGATCTTGAACGCCTCAGCAGATAAGGCCTCAACAGACCCACGGGCTTTCTAAGCTTCCCCCTTCCTTCAACAGGAGAGAAAAACACTTCTACCGCTAACTCTCCCACCGCATGTACGGCTGCATCTTTAGCTTCACCCATGCCAGCACACTTTTTCGTTCCTCTACGCTGCAAGCGGTAGCGGAAAGGCCTGTAGGGCTGTAGCGGCAATTCTGATAATAACCGCCATTCACTAATTCCTCCCGCACGCAACAGTTCACAACCACTTGACTTCCCTCAGTAGCTGTGCGCATGAAGAGCAGATAAAAGTAGCGACACCAACGAAACGTCGTGGCAAGGGGAACATAGCGGTAAAGATTTGTCACGACGCCGCCAGGAACTGCAACACATGTGGTGTACCGCGGCGTATTGCTGTTGCCGTCGTTACTGTTACTTTTATGAGCTCTGCCGTTGCTAGGCGTTAGGATAGAGGCGACTGTGGCAGGTGTCATAGATGCAAATGGTTTTGAGGCATTCGTATAGGAGCGCACCGCCAAGTCCTGTGCGTGATAAATGCAGCCAAGTTTTGTAAATCCATACTGCTCGAGTCCATCAAACTTATCCCGGATGCGAGGGGACCACAGCCCGCGTCCGGACAGGTACGTCGACACAATATTTCGCTTCACTGCAACGTGGGCCGAACATGAAACATAAACGATACGTCCACCGTTCTCTGCCACAAGCGGCAAAAGTCCTTCTGTAAGCAAAAACGGCCCGAGGAGGTTCACGGCAAGCTGCTCGTCGTCACCAAAACGAGACGTCACCTGCTTTTGCTGCATCAGCCCCGCGTTGTTCACAAGGATGTCAACTGCCATCCTCTGCTGTTGGGCGCGTTTGCAGTAGTCACGCACTGCAATAAAGTCGGCAAGATCCAACGCGGTAAATCTTATCTGCTGCTCATCACTCTTTGCAAATTTTTTTATGTACGCCATCGCACCATCAACATTTGGACCGTTGCGTGAGAGCACCGTCACGTCGGCACCCATGGCGGCCAGCTGAGAAGCCGTTTCTCGCCCAATACCGCTCGTCCCACCTGTGACGATGACGTGTCGCTCTTTCAAGTCCTTCCAGACTCTGTTTTTCCGGCCCCGCGCAAAATAGCGAGAAAAGGCAATTAATAGCACCGAATACATCGCCTCCAGCTGAAATGACATGGGGACAAAGAGGGTTGCGACATAAGCAATGAGGAAGCCAAGGGGCAAAATGAAAAACGTTGAGCCCTCGCGGACGATCGTAAACGTGTGATGCCCGTAGTTGTACGTATGCTCGCCCTCAAACCGCTTGACGTGGCGGCACATACCAGGGAAAAGCGGCTGCTGTTTTGCCTGCGAGAGTTTGCGTGGTAGTAGAAGACACGTTGTGTGCTGGTGGTAGTGACGCACACTAACCCAGCACTCCCCTGACGTCAAAAGAGTACCCGCTACCGCTGCTGCGGCCCCTGTCCCGCCCGCAAAACGTCGAACCACACAAAAAAACGATGCGCATGAAAACATGCCTCGCCTCCCCATTCCTTTAACCAAAATAAACTCTCTGCGCCCACTCGCAACCTCCACCGCCTTCCTTCTTTGGCGCTGCGGCCGTGAACCTGCAGCGCGGGGCAGTCCAACTACAAAAAGAAAAAAAAAAAAGAGAGGAAGAAAAGATTCCCACTGAACAGTGACAAGAAATAAGGCCACATATAAAACTGCCAACCCCCCAATTTCCATGCACCAAAAAGGATCCACGTGGGAGAGAACGAGATCGCGTATGTTTGCTCTTCTCCATGCCACTTTCCCACGCCTGTGAAACATCCACAGCGGTAAAAAAACAATCGAAGAAAAATAAGAACAATAACTCAGCATACGATGCCTTCAGTTTCACAGCTAGTTATTGTGTGTATTTGTACCCTCCCTATTTGGAGCGGCACCACTACCAGCACCAGATGCTGCGGTCGCAGCCGTGTGTCTGTCTGACGTAGATGGCCTCATTGTGTAATATTTTGCGATCGTATTCGCCATGGCCCATTGCATTACATCTTTTCGGCTCTTTGGGTCGTGGGCCCGGCGGCTAATTCCACCTGGCATGAGCATGCACTCTGCGTAGTAGCCACCATTTTCAATATCATCACGCACACAACAATTCACTACCGTCTGGCTTCCCTCGTAAGCATCCCGTATCCACAAGGAACGCAGTGTCCGAGCAAGGATGTTCGTTCCGAGCAGCGGCGGTGCATCCCGAGAGGTGAGATTTGTTGCGCAGAATTCAGGATCTGCTACGCACACATCCACCGGACGCAACTCCGTGGGTTGATTGAGCGGTATACCCTCGTAGCGACGTGTGGCGATGTACTGCGCGTGATACAAGTTGCCTAGTTTGGAGGCACTGTAACAGCGTGCCGTGACCTGAGCCTCATCTGGCGATGGTTTGAGCAACATACGCTCCCTCACAACATTTGCCTTGTGAACCCCATTGTGCGATAAACACGTCACGTATACGACGCGGCCGCCCTTTCCCGACCGTCGCAAGGATGGCAAGAGAGCTTCTGTCAGGTGGAACGGCCCGAGAAAATTGACGCCAATGTGTTCCTCAAAACCCTGTTTTGTCACCGTAGGCTCCTCCCGCCAGACACCGGCGCAGTTCACTAACAAATCAATCCGATCATTAAATCGCCCCTTAATGCGAGCGGCACACGCCATGACGTCAAGCTGATCCGACAGGTCCAACGAGACGAATGTCAGTCGTTCCTGAAGAACATCTTCATTGGAGCCTTTGCTGCACTGGCAATTTGCCTTCATAAACTCCCGCGTTGCTTCTTCTCGTCCCGGTCGTGACGCAATCACAACGTGGGCACCCATGTCAATTAACTGCATCGCAGTGTAAAGGCCAATCCCGCTGGTGCCGCCTGTGACGACGCATGTGAAACCATTGAGATCCTTGTAAACCGTATTCATCCTTCCCCGGATGCTGAGGCGCTGCAGGATCACACATAAACTCCAGTAAACGCCTTTTGTAATGGAGGATGCAGTAAAAAGTGGGGCAGAGGCATAGTACGCCGCGGCCATCATCATTGGAACCCACATACGACGTGCATGAAGCAACATGTATCCCATGTGTCGCAAAGATGAAAAATCGGCAAAATCATCGGCGCCCACGTAAGCGGAAGCATCGGATTTGTTTTCGCTGAGCGCATGGATATTCTGCTTCTGTGGCTGCCTTGCCGCTGCAGCTGTACTGTGGTGGCGTACCAATGGGTATGGCTGTGCCCAATGGCACACCCTTCCTGCCATACCCACCACGGCGCATGTCGTCAAGCCTTTTCGAAGAGAAATATGGCGCAACATCTAATCCCCCCTCTCTCTCTCTCTCCCTCCTTTGAATTTCACAATGAAGATACCCCTTTAACCCACCAAAACAACAAGAACCAAAAGTTTGTCTGTAAAACGTTTATGTATTATTGATTCCACCTCATGTACGGTACAAAAAAAGAGATGCAAACAAAATGAATAATTTGCTCCTGTATTTTTCAATGATTTTCTGGAGCTACTTTTTCTCCGGTAAAATACACACAAACACACACACACAAAAAAAAAAAAAAAACAAGTATGTTAACGGGGCAACAACAACAACAACAAAATGAGACTATCTTATATTTATATAAAGCTACACCAGCGGCTCTTAGTCATTCCCCTTCATGGGTGCCAGCTCCCATTCAGGGCGTCGCTGAACAGGCTTCACACTTTGATTTTTTGCTGTGCCGTTGTAGTCCCCTATTTTTTTTGCCACATTTTCTTGCGTTACGTCCGGCTGCTCAAGCCACTCCTTCAAGTATTCATCACGCGACTTGGCAACAGAGTCTCGTTGGTCTTCGTAAGAGTAGCGGGCCCAGTACTTTCTTTGCCGTGGATCAAACCACTGCGGCTTCTCTTCCTGCAAATTATGATAGGCGGCCTTCATGCGCTTGTGGTACGGCATCTCCTGGTGCCGCATGGAGTTTTTCTCGACGGGAACACCAATGCGGAGGTCATACTTTGACTTTTCCTCATAAGACATGTACATGCGATTCTTTTTGTACCACTCACTATGACCCTCCTCGCCCGGCTCTGGACCCCACTCTTCCGGCCACCCAAACTCCGGTGGCGGGGTGAGACCGTCCTCCTCCTTTTTCCATTCATGCAGCTGATGCAGCTTCTCTGACTCCGTCAACTGCTTCTTTGGCTCAAGAGACTTCACGGTGGCACCAAGGGACTGCTCCTCATATGTCGCGTAGCGTGGGGCAGGCTCATGCTTAGGAAACATGTCCTCAAAGTACTTGTAGCCACTGCGCAAGGGAGAGCTGGTGGGGAAAAAGAGACCCACCCACCGTGCAGAGGAGCGCTGGAACATCTCGTTGTTTCTACTGCTTCCCACCCCTTTGCCTATTTCCTTCTTGGGATCACCCCGCTCGGAAAGATTAGATATGATTCCTTTCCTTAATTCTTGATGGGTCGGGGCGTTGTTGATGCCACTGGCCCTTTTCTTTCATAGAGAATAGAAGGAACAAAAAGACGTGCATCTGTGTGTGGGTCATTGGCCACGTATTTCAAGCTGACGAAATCACACACAAAAAAATCATTTCCCCCTCAAATCCCCCCATACAACCCTCCACCTTTCCTTTTGACTGGGTTTCATGCCTGTATTGTGTATGTATGTCTTCTCCTCTCACCTCTACAGAAAATATTTCCTTCTCTTACCATTCCCATGCAATGCTCTTTCGTTCTTCCTTCCTAGGCCTTGGACTCAATCGCCGGCAACACCTTCTTCAGGAAACTCACAAGGTCACGGATCTCGTCAGGGTGCGATGAGTGCTCCATTCGGTAGGACTTCAGTGTGATGGAAGCAACCCCAGCCGCCTCCAGTGCCTTCTTTGTCTGTTGTGCCGCTTCAAAGGGCACAATTCCGTCCTCCGTGCCGTGACACATAAGAATGGGACTCTCCTTGTTGCACAGACGAGAGAGGACCACGTTGCCGCCAGCGAGGTATCCAGAGAGTACCGCCACACCAGCCGGTGCAATACGTGAGGTGATCCCCGCCGCAAGTGATACCGCTGCGCCTTGCGAGAAGCCTGCATACACAACACGGTTCTTCGGAATGCAGTAGCGCTGCGTCGTAGTGTACGCGAGACTCTTGACGTAGTCAGCGGAGATCATCACCGTCTCTCCATCTTGACGCGAAACGTCTGTGGCAGCAGAGATCTCCTTGATGTCGTACCACGCATTCATCGACATACCACCGTTAATGGTCACCGGCCGAACCGGAGCCGTCGGAAGAAGAAACAACAAGTGCGGCAGGGAACCCGCCAACTCATGCGCGACAGGCTCCCAGCCGTGCGCCGAATCCCCCAGTCCATGCAAAAAAGTCACAACACCGTTTGGATTCTTTCGGTTTCCAACCTGCAGCAATGGACCGTATTGCAGGCCATGCGTTATGAGCTGCGAGTTTCTTGTTGTGGTAAGTTTGGCTTGCAGGTCCTTCAATTCCACGACATCTGAGAAGTCCCTGATGCCGTAGAACGTCCGTAGCTCCTCCTTAATCTGTGAGACGGTCAAGTTTTCTATCGGCGTTCCGATCATTGCTGCGTGAACCAAATGATGTCCCCCCCTTCTCTCTCTCTCTCTCTCTGTATATATATATATATGGATTTGTGTGGGTGAACTCCTACGCTAAGCCGTGTACCTTGTTACGCTTATTCTCCTCAGAAAACTGAGATGATGGCATGGGGAAAAGGGCAAAAGCAAAAAGTAAACACAAGAAAAGGTCCAGTTCCTCGTCCGCCACACCGCGCACAACGTGAATGGAGTTGGAAAGAAAAAAAAAGAAAAAAGAAAAAAGGAAGCGGGAGAACCTGTCCCTTCCCACACAGCAGCGAAGAAACAACAACGAAAAGGAAAACTCATTGCGCTCCAGTAACGTCTTTTCCCACCCAACACCGCGCCGTAAAGCCGGTACATCTTCACCGCCAAAAACAAATTTTCCTCAGTTAAAATACGCCATTTTTTTTTTTTTTAAATTAAAACACCCTTCCCTCCATTTGCCTTCCCTTTGAACCTCCTTTTTTTAGTCGTGCTTTGGTTTCGCGGCTGGTGGACTGTGGCGGGTGGCAATTTTATCCCACAGAAGGAGGCCACCATACAGCGCCAGCACGGCCAGCAGGGGATATCCCCACCGCTCGAATATCGTCGATGCGGCCCGCCTCTTCCAACGGCTCCGCTCCACCACGTCCATGGATACACCTGTGAGCCTAAGTGTACACGGCAGCCACCCGACATGGTCCTGTGCACTGCGTGTGGGCAAAAGCCGAATAAAAATGGCGAGGCCGTGCCCTTCAGCAGCCTTTTCCCTCTCCTCATATGTGGCCGTTCCAATCTCCAACTCACTAAATTCACGTGTGCTTTCCTCGTAGAGCTTACAAGTGTGAGACGCTTCTGGCGCCTTCACAGTCACACTGTCCTCGGTGGCCTTGTGGGTCACGCGATATGTGAAGAACACTTCGCTCTGCGATACCGCGAGGGAGGGCTGCAAAGTGCACCGCCCTCGAAGGAATCCACCAACGCTCCTCCGCGATTCTTCGCATATAAGAGAAGCAAAATTTCGTGACATGGAAACGCTCACCACGCGTTCCCCTAAAGGGGCGTTGATGTGCACCTCACCGAGGTCCTCCCACTCCGCGAGATGTTCATCAACGCTAAAGACATTCCCAACGTTTCGTGCATTCAATGCGGCACGCCACCGCATGTTCTCTCGCCTCAGCAGCTCCACAGGGCCCTTCATCCTCGTTAATAACATCGCATCCGCAGCCTCCTCTGCACAACACGCGTTCAATGAGAGAAGTGCAACAAAAAGCAGCAGATTTGTCAACATTTTCCCTCGATATTTGAGCGGACGTATTGCTCCTATGCGTGCTGGTGAAAGGCGGACTCCTCGCTTTCTCTCTCTCTCTCTCTCTTTTTTTTTTTTTCTTTTTTTTTTCTTTTTTCCCGTCTCTACTATTATAAAACCCCTCACGCCACTCCAGACAGGCAGCAAATAAGCATAAAACAACAACAAAAACAAAACAAAGACGGTCCACCCCTCCCCCCAAATTGCAGTGTTTATGGGCGACCGCAAACAACAGCGGTGGCAGCCCAACGTCGCGCGTCTCTTTTGTCCTGCCACTCATATTTATACACTTCTCCTCCTCCTCCTCCTCCACGCCTCATTTCTGCCACCCTCTTTTTTGCTTTTTCTTTTGTCATGCGCACTACACCTCGAATTACAAGGTACTCACGTGTGTATGCGGGAGTGACCGTCTCCACAAATACAAAAAAAGAAAAAAAAAAAAAAAAATAAATAAAATAAAAAAGAGGAAAAAAAAAAGAGAAGAAAAACAAAACATTATGTTCTCTCCCCCCACGCCCCGCCTTCTCCCTCTATGTGCGTGTGTGTGTGTATATATGCGCACGCAGACGGGTGTTTTGAGTAGAGGAAAGAACGGGGCAACGTAAGAAGGAGTGATAGGAGACACAATAAAAGAACAAAACAAGTAAATCCACCTGAAAAGCGATCCTCTTCTCTTTATCTCCGAATCAATTCAAATAAACTTCTCTCTTCTCCGGCAGCTCTGTCCCCCTTGCAAACAATCATCTAAACACACACGCACACACATATATATACACACACACACAGAAACAATGAGAACAAACAAACAACATAAAACAAACAACAATACTCGCACACATATAAATTCAAGAAATGCACAAAACAATGAGGCGGGCACTTCCTCGTACCCCCCCCTGTCATTTTTTCCCTCCACGGATGAGGGCATGCATACACATACATACACGTAAATACGTATAGCTAACAATAAAAAAAAAAAAAAAAAAATCCCCAAAATAAAAGCATAAAGCCACTCTTTTTTGATTTTTTTTTTTTCTCTTTCTTTTTTTTTTTTTCCTTTTCTTTTTCTAAACAAGACAAGTCCTTCATACCCCAAAAATACTCAACAGTGATCTCCACTGCGTTCCGCCTCGTACAGACGTGTGTGGGTTTGCGTCCGCCGGAATTTGGATTCTATTTGTATCTTTTTCCTCCATTGTTTCTTCTCGTCCCATTCTCCACCTCATCTTCTTCACTGCCCTCATACACCCCCACACGGTGGCGGCAAAATCGCATGAAACGTGAAAACAAACACAATGGAGGATGGAGAATGTGAGTGCGTGCGAGAGTTAAAGGGAAAGAGTAAAGAGAGTGGGATCCCTGCCGGGCATATCTGAAAAACAACAACAACAACAACAAATAATAATAATAATAATTCATGCATGAGTGTACATGGATCCGACGAAGGTACAAAGCCAACACAAACACATAAAGGAGACACAATTTTTTTGTTTATTAACGGCTTACCCTAACATTCCCCCCCCCCCCCCCCCCCGGGTTCTTCTTGTGCACATCGGTCGCACCTTTAATCTCAACGTGCGAGAAGGTCTGCGGGAATAGGCGGTGTCAACATGCCACCAGAGCGCGGCGACGTTTCCCTTTGCTCAAGAATAATACCAAGGGACAAAGGTACATTTGCGCCTCCACTGGATCCGTTGCGAAGATGAGGGCTTGTATCTTCGTCATACCGTTCCTTTTCAGCACTCTTTGAAAGATTTATACCCTCGCTGCGATGGGGTGTGGCAACGTCAGAGAATGACCGGAGACAATCGACATTTTGATGGCTGTCCTGAAGTCGCGATGGGGTAGAATGAGAACTGGAAGTGGGTTTGGTCATGCGTTGCCGGTGATTTTCAGCCGTTGCATTATGGTTGCACTCAACATTGTTCATGGAGTCAAAATGCCCTTTCCCGTTCCCAACACGCGGAAAGTCTTTCATTTCCGGCATACTCGGTGACTCGTTCAGTGCAAATTTGCTACAATTGTTATTTTTCTGTGGCTGGATGATAGTGTCATTTCCCCTCACAGAAGCTTCCCAGGAATCACTGTAGGCCACAGATAGCGCCTCGCAGAGCTCATTTTCACGTCCTCTGTACTCTTCTAACATGGACTGCATCTCCTTCTGGGTGTTTGTCGGTTGACACTCAATGAAGCGCTCGATTGTTTTCCGGTAACGATTCTTGGAGGTGCCGTATGCACCCTGAAGGCGTGGCATCGGTGGCGCGAGTTCTGTACCCACCACCGCCTGAGTTGGATGCCCACGCTGGGGGCTGTAGCCACGCGACAACGAATGCCGCAGGCGCATCGTGAGGGCCTGTGGATCACAAAATTCACCTTCCCGCAGGGAATGGGATCTGCCGGCCAAAGGGCTTTGGGAAATAATCTCATCGCTGCGACCCCACCGTGTCTGACTGGAACGTTCACGATCCACAGCTGGAGTCGATGCACGCCACTCTTCCAGTCGACCATTTTTGCTAGGAATTGCACAGTGTGATTTCGATGGGGCTGGCTTTTCATTCATGCTCCGGCCCCGAAAATAATTGACATCCTCCGGGGCTCGTGGACGGCCGGGGGTGCTATCATGACTCTCCTGTCTGCCACGCACGGGAGCCATCCGACATTCATAGACGTCGCTTCGTGTCGTTTTGGAAGATGCCGACAACCCACTTTCGGCAGGATTGTGCCGTCGTGTAGGCGTTCTGCAGACGCTGGATTTCCTCCGCGGAGTCCTCCGTGGAGGCGGCGGTATCAGGCGGCCAGAGTGTGTGTGGAGATGTTTTGTCTCCAACATTTTCTTCTTTTGCTTCGGTTCCCCCCTTTTTCTTCTCCCTTCTCTCACTTTTTTTTTTTTTTTTTTACTTTTTTGGAATTCTCGTCTTATTTTATAGCGTTCCTCCTCTCCGGTTGAGTGTGTGCCCTGAGATGGCCTGCTCCGTGTAACTGCGTAAAGTGGCAATAAAAGAAAAGCCAGTGGGGGAAATACCACAGAAATCACAACAGTCGATAGATAAAGAGGGAGAGAACACACGCAAAAAAAACAAAACAAAAAAAAAGAAAACAAAAACAAAACAAAGAAAAAAACAAGGATGAAAGGCGGCAGCTCAGTCTACTGCGTACACACACTGCGGAACCAAATATAAACAAACACATTATCTATCGCATGGTGAGAAAAAAAAAAAAAAAAGGGGCAACTCACTGAATGATAAGAGGGTGGCACAAACGGACTGAACCCTGCATTTAATTTTAGCGGCCTTCCATGTGTGCATGGATCCCCATTAAGCGTGCCCAGTCACAGTCACAAGAAAAGTTGCGGGCCAATAAAAAATATTCAGTGGCTTATTTTGCCGCGTAATCCAAAAAAACAGAGAAAAAAGAAAAAGAACCAAAAAACGCGCATCTTTTTACTGGGTTGCCCCCATGCCTGCACACACACACACACATGCAAATATGTATATTTATATATGTGCGTTCAGCAGCCAATAGAGGGCCCAAGGCGGTTCCGCACAACACATGACTTGTCGAGAAGAAAGGCCGGGGTTTCTGAGAGCGTCCCTCACAACGTACCCCTCACGGCAAGTCGTACGGTGGCGGCTTACGCGGCTGGATGGCACCTTTTTTTTTTTTTTTCCTCCCCTCCCGCCTACACAAAAAAGAGGAAGAGCCCACCAATGTGCGGTGACTGTTTGGGTTCAACTTACCCAACACCCCTCCACACTTCAGAGAAGTTTTCTTTTCCCCTAGTGCTCGTACACCAACACCAAACAAATGTACTCGCAAGACGCACACAAAAACAACAACAACAAACAGGCTCGCCTTAAAGTCACAAATTGGCAGTCATTAAAATGTCCCCTAACCGAAATAAAAAAGAAAAAAATCCCCCTCGTTGAGGGCAGTAGTATTCGTCATATTATTATTATTAGTAGCAGAAGCAGCAGCTGGAGGTGGAATGAAGGAAGTAAAGGAAAATAAAAAAGTTCTTGTCTTTTCTCTTACAAAACTAAACAAAAACAAAAACAAAAACAGTTCATTCAAAACACAACAACAAAAAGGAACAACACAGTACGATTGGAGACGTCAATTCACACAACACCACCACAAATCTTAGTTACAGTAAATAAAATAAAAAAACAAAAAAACAAAAAGGAAAAAAAGGAAAAACACAAAAAACATCTCAATGATTTTCGATAGCACAGCCAACAGTTAGGGCCATATATATATATATATATAACCAAACAAAAAACGGCAAAATTGTGTCCGAACGGTAAAAGACATCAATCACCAGACATGGATGAAGTGCGTCACGCACCGCCATGCGTGAGTCTTCTCGGATCCAGTTCGACAGAAAGAAAAAGAAAAAAAAAATAGCAAAAAACAAAACAAAAAAAAACAAACAAACCCATTTATTAGGCCACACCACACTGTTTTAGTCGCTGCAACGCTGCCACCAGTCTTTGTTCCAAAACAGACATGTTATATATGGCAACTTGATTGGTAAATCCTCGATACATATAGTCGAACTTGCAGGCACGCATAACAGCCTTAACTGCTTCAAGGTCTCTTTGTTGTGCCTTCGATTTATGAAGGCCACCCATGTCCTTAAGATACATATCGGCAGCTTCAATATATTCGTAGTGAATACCAACGGTGTCGGCAAACAGCTTGTAAAAATGGATCAGAGTTCTTGGGCAACCAAAAGGCATCAACTCCAAAAGCGCCCGGCAGCGTGGCCGACGGCGCCCGTCCATCCAAAGGACGTGTGTCAGTCCCATACCGTGCATACCCATCATGACGTCGGCGTGGCGGCTAACATGGACCTGATCCTCCAGTGGCATCTTCTCAAAATATACCACCTGCACGTTAAAGCCAACTCTTTCTGCTAATGCGGCCACGGCTTGGTAATCGTGAATCTCGCGAAAGTTGCGGTTAATTAGGAGCAGTCTCGGGCGGTAAACAAAAGGTTCCTGCGTTTTGTCCCCTGGTTCCCTACTCTTGTACTTCGCCATTACTTTTAACTCCGTTTCCCAAAAACGCTTTGCGATTTGCGGAACATGACTGAATCGACGCAGGATGGAGAGGGGTACAACTTGTTTTTTTTCCAGATCATCAGACACTTCTTGTGCGGACTCGTGCGGTGTCTCGTTCATATATCGCACCATAAGATCACCGATAAGGCGAAATGCAACAGTTTTTTGCTCAAATGTTTCATCCGGCGGCACCTCGCAGGTAAACATGGCTTGACAGGTGCAGTAGACAGCATCTCTACTAAGAACGGGTATGTCGTTAAAGAAGTAACGTGTGGGTGCTGTTGGATGGGAAAAGGCACCTAAAAAATGTGTTGTCTGCGGCAACGCACTTGCCAGGTTTTCTCGCGTCCATAATAATTCCGCACGTGGGAGGGCGAAGAATTGAGTGGGTGATTTCCCCAATTCACTGTACTTCCACAGGGTTGTTTCATTCCCCACCTCCGTCATGATAACCATCACTTCTTTCACCATATCATTGAGGACATGATACATCTGACCAAGGGAGAAACCGTTAAGAAAAACAATTGCAATCGCGGGCACAAACGTCAAACTACGGATGTAACTATTGTTCTGCATATCCATCAACACATTGTCGGTCAACCTCCTCCATGAGGGGAAAAGTTTAACCCTTGCCCCGCCAAGGTTGCGACGCCGATCCAAGTCATCTCCGTCAAAGTACGACGATCCACCCAAAAAACACACCGGCCCTGGAAAAATCGGATACGGTGGCAGGCGAATGTCTTTGCTCTTGTTGCTCCTAATAGGAAAATTTACGATATTCTTACGCTTCCACCAGGCGTTCTCCAGTCCGGGGGCGTACTTGGAACAAAAGCTGCGAAGGTGTTCAAGTTGCAGCGGTGGTCCCTTTCTCCCACGGCGGGTTTGCAGCAAATACCCACCACCCGGGCCTCGTTTTATTAGATTGTCTGGAAAGGCACCATCGGAGACCTCCGGCCAAACATCTTCCTTCAATTCTTTTAAACCGGGACTGATAACCAGCAGCGTGCCCAAAATCATGATTGCACAGAGTGCAATTAAGGTAGTGACATACAACCGGCATAATAAAAAGAGGCGTTTAAAATGCCGTCTGTGGTTCGCAGAATGCGTAATGGCCATCATAACTTCCCGAGTCGCTCCAACACTAAAAGAAATAGTTGCCTACGGCAGAAACACACAAAAGGAAATAAGAAAAGATCAGAAAATAATAATTTAAATATCAAAGTTCCAACTGTTACCAAACCAAAAAAAAAAAAAAAAAAAAAAAAAGGAAAAGGGAATCGGCACTTTTTTTTTAAATTTTTATTTTTGTCTCGGTGTAACAAAATTATGGAGTTTTGAGTGGGAACCCGTACGTGAATTGACCCACACCACCACCCGGTAATCAGAAGAAGAAATATTGCAGGACAATAAAAGACGCATAATAAGAGAGGAAAGGGGAGTGAGAGGTAGAAAAGTAATTTATGAACAGTTTTCTTTTTTTTTTCTTCTTCTTGCGTTGAATACAACCTGTGGAAAGAACGCAATATTCGATATCACCTCAGGCATTCCCCAAGACGTTTATATATCCCCAAGTACTTTTGCGTCTACATTTAAGTTGGACACATGCGCGGAGCCGCGGCTGTACTTTTCCATGGGTGACTGTTGGCAAACGCGGGAATCCGCTTTCCTTCCCAGATTTTCGTGATAAACCCGCTGCCAGAGCTGGTCCTCATCAGAACTTTCTGCGCCCTTCCTTTTATAATCCCCCAAAGGGCGTTGCAGGGGATACACAGATAAGATGTGGGCCCCGTTGGCCTGCAGGGGCGTCACTTCGGCCACTTTGTTGCAGATGAGTGGAAACTCCTCCATGTTGCTCTGCTCATCTACAATTGTTGGTGCATTGTCGTTATCCATTTTTTGCTCCAACCGGAAAAAAGACGTGGCAGGGAGTGGCGGAGGAATCTCCAGAGCTTCAAGCGCAGTGATGGGGTCCTCTGCATTAATCAAGCATTCGTTTTCCTCCCTTGACTTTTCTGTTATATCAGCGGGTCCTGCCGTACAGACCGCACCGGTCTGCGACGACGGCGCCTCGCATTTCTCTTCGGGTGCGGACTCTTTCCCAGGCGGTGCGTGATCCACAAGATTCCACGGCTCTTCACTGGAGTTCCCGCCTTCTCTTCCGTTTTTATTCAATGACACGTCCACGGAGTTTTTGGGCCTCAGCTCACGCCAAAGCGACGTCCATTCATCGCCATTTTTTCCCGCCCACCTCATCGAACTATTTTCTGATGCTCTTCCCGGCAAATCACCATATCCCATTGTGCCCGTCTCATTCAACAAAAAGGGCAGAGGAACCGCAGGTTTGTATTCAAAGCCCAACATTTCTTCTTCTTCTTCTTCCAACTCCCTTTCCTTCTGCAGTAGCGGCTGCCGCACGTCGAGGTTGGCTGACAGAAAATCCTCTCTCTGCGGGAGAGCCGTCGTTGTATCATAATCCTCAGCCTCATCCACCGCCTCATGCAGGCTGTTTTGTTCGCCCACTGAGAATCCCTGAGATTTCTTGTCATGATCGAAAGCATTCATCTCATCCACATCATTCATTTCTTCTTCTTCTTCGGACGGAGCGGCTTCCACTGCGGCAAAATCATTGTTTGGGACCATGTCCTCTTCAGCGGTCTCTTGAGGGAAATCAACTTCCTGTTCCTCTTCCTGCGGCGCGAGATTCTCATTCTTTTCCTTCTGTTGCTTCTCCAGTTCAGCATGAAGTGTCTTGTGCCGCTTCCACTCTTCCACAACAAACCACTTCATGTAACGCCTCTTCGCGGCACGGGGGGAAGACGACATCCCACGAGACGTATCATCTTCTTCATCGTAATTCCTCACGGAGACGCTACGAAGACCACTTGAAATAATATTGTTCAGTGGTCCTGGCAGCACGTACTGTTGCACCGACACATGTCGTTGAGGTACAAAGTGCAGAATAACCCGAAGCAGCTCCGTTGGAGTCCCTTGAAACACCCCTTTAAAACGAAGAATGGCTGCAAACAGCGTCGTGCCCACAGCAATTTTCATCCACAAAGTTGTTGTCGGTCGATCCCTGTTTTGCTGCCCCTGCTGCATCACAATGTGCACAAGACGCTCATTCTCGGCTGCAGGCGGAGATCCGGAGAGGAGAAGAGAGGCCTCGTGTGTGACGCGCCCATCACTGGGGTCAATGAGTAGCAGTAGACCGGACTCCGTGACAAGAAGAACACGTGGCAGCCAACTTGTGATGAACAGTGCAGACGACTGGCGACTCACGTGAGAGGCAAACACGGGGCGCAAGAAACAAGTGTGCTGAGTAGGAATATGAAGCGATTTCAGGAGACTTTCGGACAACTGAATGACGGGCAATGGGGCCGCCCCAATGCTCTCCGCCAAGACGGCGGCGCCGCTCATTTCTTTTGAACGTCGCCAAAACAAAGAAAAAAAAAAAAAAAGAAAAGTTCCTTCGGTTCCTTTTTTGGCGCAACATGCGTTCACAGACAAACCTCGTGTGCCAATACTCCCTCACGACATGCATCACGCTGTGAGAGCCACCTGTCAATGCCACAGCCTTTCATTGCTCAAACGACACAAAGGCAAAGGAGGAAGGCGGGTTTCCCGGATCCCATTCCCACGATTCCTTCAAACCGCTGCACTACAACCCCACCTCACACTCACATGCATCGCATCCAAAAGAAAGGGGAATAAAACTGAAACAAAATGTACACGCACAGACAGAGTAAAAAACAAACAAACAAAAAAACAAAAGGATCTTCATAAAACGATAATACACAAAACACATTCACTTTTTAAAACTTTTGCCACGAGGGTAGCATGATAAGAGTCCTCAGTGGTTTCCTTGCACCTTGCAACAGTTGTGCCGTGAGGTACTCCCAAGAGAGATCCTCGACCTTTTCCCATTCCGTCAGCAGAAATTGCTTTTTGAATTGGATCAGCTGAATCCTCTTCTCTACTCTAGCCAATGTATCTTCAGGATGCCCCATTTCCCATTCCGAAATCCGTTTGGTCAGTTCTGCGGCCTGACCACGAAGTAATGTCAATTTGTTCGTAAGAGAGTGCCACAGCTGCCGCTCTTCTGGCCATAAGTACCAGAAAACTTCTGCCTCGCGATGCATCCCCATTTCACGTAAACGGCACAAACGCTCTCGTATTGCCTTCACCTGAGCTGCAATTTCCCATGGGGGTGGCCTTTCCATTTCATCCCGCTTGCCATGTGGACGACGTTTCTGATGGAATTTGGGTTGGTATTGGCGGTTTTGATGCCGAACCTTCACATCCCTCCCAGCTTCAGCTCCGGCATGAAATCGCCGCGCTGAGGTCCTAATCTCAGCATATGAACCTAAAGACGCCGGGAGCGGTCGTTGAGACCTTGACGCTAAAGGGCGCTCCTTTCGCCGTGTCTCGCTCCGATTGTTTCCGCTAAAACGTGCTTTGTATGACAATATAGATGTCACAGGCTCCGTGGCATTTTCTGCCACCGGCTTCTTCTCTTCCACTGTACACGATGACAACGAGAATTGTTCCTCTTGCTCAGGTGGAGGGGCTGCGGGTAATGCTTGAAGTACACTCATGACACTTGGCGCACGTGTAGAGGTCTGAGTGGATGGGGCATGGGCCACAATCTCATAGACAGGACTGTTGGACCATCGACTGCGTGTCGTTGGCAATATTGAGTTGAAGCCCATGCCCTCAAAGGCAAAGGAATCATTTTTCTGCTCGTCTTCTTTTTCATCTTCAAAGACGGTGTGATTTCTTGGGTTGTCCTTCACCGTTGCATCCCAAATGCCTGTTGTGGGATGGCGTTCCGTTTGCAATGGACGCGATTCTTCAATAGGAGTCTTTTCCCAATCGACGGGGTAGTTAAAAACGGACGACGAATTCAGTGCGCCGTCCAGAAGCTCTGACGGCAACGTGCTGATTTCGTCCAGAATTATGCCCGGATGTTGAACCGTTTTCTTTTTGGGCAGCTGCAACGTCTCTTCTTGTCTTCCATCGGCGTAAATGAAGGTGCTTCTGGAGGCAAAAAAGGGTGTTTGCATGGGTGGCACCAGCCGTGCTGTCGGTTCCTCTTCAGCGGATGTTTTCAATGTTGGTGTGGCATCCATGACATGAGCCACCACCGATACAAGTGACGATGCCTCTCTTTGCTCCACTGGCGCTGAAGCGACATGCTGTCTGTCTCCAGCTAATACCGCGACGCTTGGCTTTGGTCGGTCTTCAATGGATTTGGCATAGGTCCCTCCGTCCGGCATTATTTCATCGTTTAGACGCCGTCGCCTTGCCTCCTTCTGGAAAACAAATGAAAAAGAGGTGCCGCGTGGCGATCGAGAGGTGGGTACACGAAAATTGAGCGGCATGCCACCCTCCTTTCCCCCCCGATGATTTGTTTTGCCTTTCGAGTTGGTGGTCCGCCAAGTAGGGTAATTCCTCGTTGGCTTCGGAATGGATGAACGTGGCGACGTGTGACCCGCTTCACGCCGCTGATGCCCCTTCAGCAGCCGCAGGAATTGTTGATTGGGATCGCGACTTGTTGCCGAAGATGGACCCGTGTTTAACTGCAGCCCATATGGTTCCTTTTGCTCCACCCGAGGGTTGCACCCCGTCTTCGACGTCGTCACGACGCCGCTCTCAAAAGTCTGCTGCGTGACGTGTTTGCTGCTGGCAGGGGCGGGCACATCGGGCAATGCCGTGAACATTTCATGAACTTCTCTGGCGAGTAATGACCCCTCGTCACTGCCGCGACAGTCGTTGTTGTTAGCCACGTCCGTCATTTTCACGGCCGCCTCGGGTGGAAAAACACCGCTGAAAGGGCCGGCAAAATCCTCCAGTCTCGGCGGCTGCCATGCGTTTCTTCCCCCTCCCTCTTCCCCGCTGCAGCTGTTTCCAGCACAACTGTGAGTTCTCGCATCCGCCCCGCGTGTTGGCGTCATTTCCTCACCGTTTGGCGAGGAATGCACAGGCGGCTCCCTCGGCGTGTCAAACAAGCCTGAAGCGGCCGGTGAAGAACACCTCTTCCGCTCCATACCGTCATCTGCCGTCTCCTCTCCTTGCTGCTGCTGGTCGCCGCCTCCAGTCATCTGGACGACCGTCCCCTCCCCTCCCTCCCCCTTGTGTGCGGCAGTAAAAAAAAAAAAAGAGAAAACATCAGAAAAGCGGGGAGTTTGGGCGGGGCGCAAACAAAATAACGCCGAGGCACCAAATCCCCCTCCACACACACACAAAAAAAAAAAAAAAAAAGAAAGAAATCCAACACGCACACGCCCAGACATACTTTGATTGAATCATGAGAAAACAAAAACAAAAAACGCAGCGACAAAACAATAACAAAATCACCAAACAAAAAGACGAGAGATGAAAGAAAGAGAAAGCAAACACACGAACAAAAAAAAAAAAAAAAAAAAAAACGAGCACTTAATTGCCAAGAAAACTCCGGTTTCTTTTAGGCAAAAACAGCCCTGTATATACTTTTCATATAAAGAAAGCTCAAGCGGACATCATCATTGTAGCACGACGTCTTCTTGAGCAACTCGTTTTTGTTGTTGTTGTTTCTTGCCGTAAGGGTACTCCCGGACTCTGATGCTAATTCACCTGGCTGAGGGCCATGTTCATATCGTCCCTCATCCTCCTCACTATTCATAAAATCACATCGGAAGGAGAGGTTCCTCTTCGGGCCCTTTTCAAAGGTGGATGATCTACCGTTTTGTGCTGCCATTGTAGCAAGTTGTGCGGCGGTGGATGCGCGATAAAGCCGGTCACTAAAGGCCTTTGTTACAATGTTGAACAAAGGCTCTAGCGCGGCCGCAGCATGCACATGACGCCATGCTGACCGTAGTGAAGGGAATAGCCGCCTACCAGCGCCTTCTCGATGATGTGTGGTGGCGCCGTGACGGCCCAGGCCGCCTCCCTTTTCAGCTTCCCGCATCTCCTCCTCGTGCCTACGTAGCCAGACAAGAAGTCGATACTCCAAGGCACCATTGAAATCCTCGATGGCATGAAGAAGAAGACACCAACAACGGGCACGATATTGAATCTTAGCGTCTTTTACAAGCAGCAGCCAGTTTTCTACCCATGCACGGTTCTCATTTGCATACCGCTGCTCCTCTTCCCGGGCGCATACAGCACGTTGATGAGACAACAACATGGAGAGTGTTTCAACAATTTGCCGTTGGTGTTTTGGCTTGGGTGGTGGCATGTTCGGGACACTTCGGCGCACCAACAGCGTGACCGGTGCCTCTGGTCCGGACCATAATGTCTTGTCCCCTGTGAAAAAGAGATGTGCTGCGAGGTCATCGCACGGCCATTTGGACTCTCCCTTTGCAAGGGTTTCGTCAAGCATTCCAAAGGCGGCTGCGTCCCCTGTCCGCGCCCCCACAGAGGAGGCACGTTGATGGTGCCTGGCGGCCGCCGAGACCTCTTCAAATGGCTGAAGGAGGATGTGAAGCGCAAGCCTCATTAGCTCCGCAGTCGTAATAGGCGTCTTCACGTGTGTCGCTCCCGTGCTGTCGCCCGTTGCGCCCCTGTTTGGCTCCTCCGTTCCAATAAGGCGAGAAAGCAGCGCACCAAGTCCCTTCTCCATGGCGTCCAGAGTCACCTCCACTAAATGTGCTGCCCGCAGCAAAAAGAGGATGTCCCTACGCTGCGCAAAGAAAATAATGCCCCAAAAGTCGTTGGGCAGCAAATTAACGTCCTCCGTCACAGAAGCAATTTTTTCGCGCGTTGTGGGGGAGATGACACCGGCGGCAAGAATACGCTGCGTGCCGGAGATCATATCCCCACGACCAATGTCTTCTCGCAGCTGTTGGATATGAAGGCTGTAGGAGATGCCTTGGCATTCTTCTTCCACTAATTTGCTGCTTATTTTGTTTCGTGAGCTGCCGCTACCACCGGGAATGGCGCCTTTTGAACTTTTCTTTGAGTTGTCTTCCCCTCGTGTGGCATGTGTCTCTTCCGCACTCTGCAATCCCATTCCTTCCTGAAGGGGAGAAGAGACGCGGGTGGCGGCAGTAGCGCACTGCAACTCTTCTCGCTCCTTCTCAAAAGCGGACAACGCCTTTGTCATTCCCCGTGCTGCCAAGTGTTTTCTGATGGCTGCCATAATATTTGCATCACGACATGAACAAGTGCTGTCCTCCTCGCACTCGTTTTCCAGATCGGCCGCCGTCTTTTTCTGGTGCACGCGAACCAACTCCTCTGCAATGCCCTCACAGTACTTGTCCATATTAAAAACAAAATACCCAGCCGCCGTCGTCCTCATTTCCTGTTGAGGAGAAAACGCAGTGGCCACACCACCAGCCGCCGCCGCCGCAGCAGCAGCAGCAGCAGCAACAGTTCCCGACTCCGGCACCGCCGCGGTGGTTGCGGCTGTAGCTGTTGTTATTGTTGTCACTGCAGCGGCAGCAGCAGCAGCTGGTGGTGGCGGTGGTGGTGGTGGCGGGACCTTTTCTTTCATGGGAGGCCGCAGTATAGACGCCGCCCTACCCAACGGCGGAAACACAACTCTCAACGAAACTGCAGGAAGAAGTCGAAACATGCCCACGGCGGGGTAGTAGCCGTGCCGTGGCATTCGTCGACTCAGTGTGCCCACGACGTCCAGAAGCTCACCATTGAAGGTAAAGCGCACTGTGCCCTCCATGAGGTTGACAATACATCCAACTGTGTCCCCAACTTTCATCCCTCTTGCGCGATAATCATCTGAGTTCCCTGCTGCGGTGCTGCTGTTGCGTTGACGTGCGCCGGTGGGGAAGCGCACAGCTTCACCTTCGCCCTTGCCGTTTATATACGCCATTCGCTGGGCAGTAAAAAGACCGATGCTCCACGCCTCTTCACCTGGCAGCGCGTGCTGAGGAAGCGATTCGCGGCAGATACCAATGACGAGTTCGGGCTCGCTCAAGCTCATAACAGAGTTGCGGCCGTTTCCGCCTGCCGTCGCGATGGACCGAACCTCCACCTCGAAGTAAAAAACGCCACTGTACGGGTGAATCGGAACATCACTCTTCAGGTGGATGCGCCCATTGTTTTCCCTTCGAGAGGCCGCTGATGCAGCGGCGGTGGCGGCGGACGCAGAAACGCCAGGCCGCATGCTTGTGGAGAGAAAGTGGATGAGACAGATGCCGGGGCTGCACGTCTCCTGAATGAAATAATTGGCATCCTGCTGGCTGTCGCTCGCAACGATGCGCTGCGGCGTGGGAAATTGCCAGCCGGAGTAAAACATTTACAACTCACAAAGGCGTCCGGAAAGAAGAAAAAAAAAAAAAAAAAGAAACCAACAACAACTAAACAACTAAAACAACAACAAAAAGAAAGCTATTTGATCTGTAGCGTTGCAGCGTACACACCTGCCGGTAGGAGTGCTAGAGAAGCGGGAAGAGAATACGGAAGAGAAAGCGGTAGATCCATCGGGTAAAAGCGGCGTAGATGTATATAATACACGCACACTAAAGGCCGTCTGCGTCTCGGCAAAAGGAGACAAACAAAAAATAAAGAGAAAGACACAGACACACACACTCACACACAGAGAGAGAGAGAAAGAACAAAAATCACAGCGGGAAAATGATGTCACTTAATTTAATTCCCCGCACCCTCCCACTCATCTCCATTCCGTTCCTCTTTGCATTCCCCTCTCCCCTTTACCCCCCTCCCGGGCGCCGTGAAGAAAGACGGGATAAAAACAAGAGAAACAACAGTACTTGGGCGACATGCCACGCAACTACTGCCCAGCCACAGTCACCCGCAAAGAGTGGTGCACTGAGGCAAAAGTCGTGCCCACACGCTTACATTGCAGACACAGACAACATCATGGAGGAATACACGGATCCACAGGCAAAAAAAAAAAAAAAAAAAAAAAACACTGAAGACTGCGGAGTCAGGGAGGGGGCGAAAAACACCAGCCGTCCCTCAGCAAATGCACGTGCACACCTTCACGAATAAAAAAAAAAAAAAAAAACAAAAAAAAAAAAAAAAAAAGAACGGTGTTTCATGATGAAAAACAAAACAAAACAAAAAAACAACAAAACAACAAAAAGGAGAAATGGTGCGCACGGCGAACGGAGTCACCCACCGACCCTCTAGACACTTACATCTGGAAATAAACATGAAAAGTGGGGGGGGGGGGGGGGAGCTGAAAAGAAAAATAAGAATTTCGTACATTAGTAACGAGCAAAGATCAAAAGAACAAAAGATCAAAAAGAAAAAAGAAAAGAAAAAAAAAGAAAAGTTACCCTCACACATGCAGCAGGGGGCACAGACATATAAATAAATATATAAATATCTTCTCCACTAATCAAAGACCTCAATATTTCTCTTCTTCTCTCTTTCCCACCCCCACTACCCCCACCCCCCTGCACACACACACAGAGAGAGAGAGAGAGAGAGGGGGAGAGGGAGGGACAGACGAACAGTAACTTGAGAGAAAGCAAAAAACAAAAGCCAAAAAAAAAAA